TATATGCAAAAACAGCCTTACCTAGTAGTAATTTACGTATCAATAAAAAATATATAGGCACATATTACACCAAATATACCCGGACCGCAATATTTACGTATGTAAAAATATAGGTACCCGGGCCACAATTTACGTAGTATATGACCATGACCTATTTTCGGGGACGAAATTTACCGGGCGGTCGAGAATTGAGCAACATTTTATCTACCCGGTTCGTAAACAATATTTTTGTACATTTTATTAAATGGGAATTGGGCCACAAATAAAAGGTATATTAAATAAAATGTATAAGGTTAAAGGTATATTTTAAAAGGGTACTAATGTATAACACAAAAATGGATATTTGTAAATATATTAAAATGCATAATTTAAAATACAACACATATTAAATAACACAAAAAGTTATAATTTTTTTAAAAAAAAATTATGTGATACAGATTGCTTTGCACAGTATTTAAAGGTGCCGTCAACATAATTAGATTGCAAAGAAATTATAAAAAATAATAATATATTTAAAATAGTGATGTTAAATAGAGGTTTGTCTTTTTTAAAATCTAAAATGTATAAAATATTGTGGTACAATTACCAGATTTAATAATAAAACACGTTTAAAATAGTGGCCCAATCATCGAGTCTAACTGCCTTGAATGTAAAATTTTAGTGGCCCAATTACCGTACAACTTTTTGAAAGAAGATTCATTGTGCCCAATTCTCGGACGCCCAATTTAACGACTCCGAGATTTATACCTGTTTAGTAAACCTTTTTGTACCGTCACAATTGATGTATAGCGTATATCTTTTTACTATCCTATAATTTTTCTTTTTTTACCTGCGATTTCTGGCCCACATTTACATGTATGGCCCCCTTCGAAAAATCTGATTAAAAAAAAAAAATGGAATCATTTTTTCATTGACCATCTTAACAAAATTGTTTACACAATGTAATATGTAGGTACAACGATTTTAATGCTTTTTAAGAGTATATTTTTATTGTATAATTTATAATTTGTAATTTTGAAAATTGTATTCTAAATAAAGTAAAATTAGAGCATTTATACAAATATAATAATGTTTTCACTATAAAATATAAGTAGATTAATGATAAATGATATAAATTAAATAAACAGAAGTAATTATAATCGAGTGGTTATTGAGACTGATCTGATACTGTATTTAAATTTAAAGCTCTATACAGTTAAGTCAGTAATTTGTTTTGATGTTCCTTTCTGTCTGATTCCGGTCAATAAATGTTTTTTCCATTACTATCAATACTATAGGAATAAAATTAATTCAGAATTAATAAATAATATTCAAAATAAATTTGAATTCACTCTTGGGGGGGGGAGGGGGACCGTAGGAAAACCAAAAAAAAAAGTACAATATTAAATAAATATTGTTAAAGAAATTACATAATGCAAATGTAATTATTTTGCCATAATATGACATATTTTATATTGTTGATAAAGCAATACTATTAACCGAATTCCGCTCAGAATCGTCAGTCCTTAGCAATAGTTAATCTTCGTGTATGGATATAAATTGAATTTCTCGTGAATTTTTGATGTAAAGTTATTTTTATCAAAAATAGATTGTACATTAATCCTAAAAATTAATTTATCGAAACGTGTGGCACCAACAATTTTCAAACTGAAAATACAATTTCTCAGTAGATTTTTCAAATCAGTTACGAGCAAGTTGGCATTTGCAATAAAATTTGCCCAAGTATTTATTCGTACAATTAAGAATTTGTTGCCAAAACCTTCAAGTATTGAACTCATAATTTGTGTGACGTAAATACTTTAAATTTAATTTAATTTCAAAAACGTGAATATGCCAAATAATTGAAAAATGTGGACCAAATGGAAGGAAAATCATGTGTTAAACCTCAAAAGACATATTGAAAGTTTACATTATCCTTTGTACAAAACATACTATTTAAAGAACAAATGAAGTTCAAAAATCAATCAAATTTGTTGATGATCAAACACTTTCATAGGGTAAAATACAAACAAATACATATCTATATAGGTATATTCATTTTATTTATTTTAATAATTGATTTTAACATTGATGCTATTATTATTTAGGTAATAATAAATAATATTTATGAATATTAGGTACATGTTGGATTCTTTACTTTAGTTTGAATATTACTACTTTTACAATACTTTTTGAATACATCTGAATATTAAAGTTTTTGATTTTTAGCAGTTTAGGTATTTTAAAACACTAATGTTATTGATTTAACAGGCAGTGGATGTTGGAGTATATTTATTTGGTTTAAATTTAATCATACTAAAATAATATAAAATAACTTATAGATTACAATTTAAATATAATATTGATAACTGATAAAAGATATTTAATTTAAAATAACTACATTTTTTTTGAAATCTAAAATTAGAATTTGAGGTCCAAAATATCTATGATGGGATACGAAGTCAAAAATTTATTTAAAATCTGTATTTTAAATTTTACAAAATTGATTTTCTATGGGTTTAGACACTTATTAAAAAAACCAAAAAGAATTAATAATTATACACTTAGTTTGAATATAATCATACAAATGTAATGTAATATAAACTTAGTAAAGATTACTTATGATAAATAATTAATATTAAAATAATAAAGTAAAAATCTATAAAATAAAAAAAGTACGTAAAAAATTTTAAAAATATGTAAGTTAAAGTACTACATTTTTTTTGAAATCTAAAATTAGAATATGACTCCTACAATCAGTAATTCCAGAACACAATGATAAAACTGTCTTTAAAATCGCAGTTTTAGATTTTACAATTTTCCACTTTCCTTGCTTTTAGACATTTTTTACATAACCAAAAGAAAATTAATTCATAATTATACACTTAGTTTAAATATAATCATACATATGTTATGGAATATAAACTTAGTAAAGATTAATTATGATAAATAATTAATATTAAAATAATAAAGTAAAAAAACTATAAAATAAAAAAAGTACATAAAAAAAAATAAAAAATATGTAATTTAAAGTAACTACATTTTTTTTGAAATCTAAAATCAGAATTTGAGTCCTAAAAGCTATATTTCTTGAACACAATGATTAATCGGTATTTAAAATCCCAGTTTCAGATTATACAATTTTAAAGGTTTTAGACATTTTTTACATAACCAAAAAAAAAAATAATAATTCACAATTATACACTTAGTTTAAATATAATAGGACTTATATGACATACAATACATTTTTTTTTGAAATCTAAAACTATTATTTGACTTCTGAACTCAGTAATTCTAGAACACAATGATAAAACTGTCTTTAAAATCCCAGTTTCAGATTATACAATTTTAAAGGTTTTAGACATTTTTTACATAACCAAAAAAAAAAATAATAATTCATAATTATACACTTAGTTTAAATATAATCATACAAATGTAATGCAATATAAACTTAGTAAAGATTAATTATGATAAATAATTAATATTAAAATAATAAAGTAAAAAAACTATAAAATAAAAAAAGTACACAAAAAAAGTACATAAAAAAAAATAAAAAATATGTAATTTAAAGTAACTACATTTTTTTTGAAATCTAAAATCAGAATTTGAGTCCTAAAAGCTATATTTCTTGAACACAATGATTAATCGGTATTTAAAATCCCAGTTTCAGATTATACAATTTTAAAGGTTTTAGACATTTTTTACATAACCAAAAAAAAAAAGAAAAATTCATAATTATATACACAGTTTAATTATAATAGGACTTATATGATATAAAATAATTAATATCATTTAAATATAATGTAGAATACCGATAATAGATTATTAATTTGAAAAAATTTACATTTTTTTTGAAATCTAAAATTAGAATTTGAATCCTGAAATCTGTATTTCTAGAATACAATGATAAACTGTATTTAAAATCTCAGTTTCAGATTTTACAATTTCCTAAGCTTTTAGACATTTTTTACATAACCAAAAAAAAAAAGAAAAATTCATAATTATACACACAGTTTAACTATAATAGGACTTATATAATATGAAATAATTAATATCATTTAAATATAATGTAGATTACCGATATAAATAATTAATTTGAAAAAATTTACATTTTTTTTTGAAATCTAAAATTAGAAAATTTGAGTCCTAAAAGCTATATTTCTAGAACACAATGATTAATCTGTATTTAAAATCCCAGTTTCAGATTATACAATTTTAAAGGTTTTAGACATTTTTTACATAACCAAAAAAAANGATTATTAATTTGAAAAAATTTACATTTTTTTTGAAATCTAAAATTAGAATTTGAATCCTGAAATCTGTATTTCTAGAATACAATGATAAACTGTATTTAAAATCTCAGTTTCAGATTTTACAATTTCCTAAGCTTTTAGACATTTTTTACATAACCAAAAAAAATAATAATAATTCACAATTATACACTTAGTTTAAATATAATAGGACTTATATGACATACAATACATTTTTTTTTGAAATCTAAAACTAGAATTTGACTCCTGAACTCAGTAATTCTAGAACACAATGATAAAACTGTCTTTAAAATCCCAGTTTCAGATTATACAATTTTAAAGGTTTTAGACATTTTTTACATAACCAAAAAAAAAAAGAAAAATTCATAATTATACACACAGTTTAACTATAATAGGACTTATATGATATAAAATAATTAATATCATTTAAATATAATGTAGAATACCGATAATAGATTATTAATTTGAAAAAATTTACATTTTTTTTGAAATCTAAAATTAGAATTTGAATCCTGAAATCTGTATTTCTAGAATACAATGATTAATCTGTATTTAAAATCTCAGTTTCAGATTTTACAATGTCCTAAGCTTTTAGACATTTTTTACATAATAATAAAAAAAAAAAAACATAACTATACACATAGTTTAACTATAATAGGACTTACATGTTTTAAAATAACTAATATAATGTAAATATAGTATAGATTATTGATAAAGGAATAATTAATTTAAAATAAATGTATATTTTTTGTGAAATCTAATATCAGAAGTTGAGGTCAGAAATATGATATCTATATTTTTTCTTCAGTATCCTCGATTTATATGACATCACTACTTCATACATATATTACATTAGTGTGGTCTTTCCTTATTGTGAGTTTTTTTATGCTTCAGAGGATGCTGCAGTATATGACATGTTAGATTCAAAATGGTTTTTTTTTGTGCATACGTTTTTTTCGGATCTTTCTGGGGTTTTTTCCGTGTACGCGATTTGAACGGTTACTTACACTGTATTTTGTAGTAAAGGCTCCATGGCAAAAATCACATATGAGTGGTGGATGAGTTGTTAGATGATATTGTATAATGCCATCTTGCATTAGTTCCCGTTTACAGTAATTACATTTAAATATCTGTTTTGGGTTTTTGATAAATGGGCGACTTTCTTTACGGTTGAAGTCTGGCCGACCAAATGGTTTCCTGCATTGCTCACATTTATAAAGGTTATTTTCTACAGGTGGTATTTCCGGGGAATGAATGGTTGGATCGTTTTCGATAGGAGCCTCCTCATCAGTCAAATCAACTTCTTCATTTTCAACGGTAGTATTTATTTCCTCTTCTACATCTTTTTCATTGTTTATGTTTCTGAAAAATGTAATAATCACATTAATTACTGATAGAAATAACAAAGTTTGTAAAATGTTATTAATTAATAGTAATTAATAAAAAAAACTAATTAAGTTAAAATGAACAAATAAAAATTCTGGGAGAAGTTAGGTATTTTACATGGTTTTTAAAATATCAGAAATTTGTGAGTTTCATTAAAATTTGATCTCAAAACTTTTATTAAAAAAAAAAAAAATAATCCACTCGAGTAAAATTAGAATAAACCTCATATAAATTTGCAAGCATTTCTATTCAGCTAAAAATTGTTATCAACATTAAATAATCACATAAAAACTTACAAAATTCAAAAAAATCTTGTATTTTAATTATATGATATCTACTCATGCAAACTGATATTTACATGTTATTATAGAAAAATGGTCGTAATTAATTTTTCTTAATAGCTTGTAGATTGCCATATAATTTATTATAAATGAAAAAATTAGTTTTCAATATTATTATGCTAATATCAGGTGTGTAACATCTATTGGTAAACTAAGTGGTATTTTAATATGTGATAAGGTGTAATGATCCAAACTTTGAAGATAATACTGGTCAGGTCTAGACTTTTAAAGAGCATATTATATACCTACCTAGTACATAGGCTCTCTATACTCCATTAATGGAATAATTATGCTCTATTATTTTTTTTATAAAATTCTAGAAGACTGGTGACAAGTCTGTACGCACATTTTCAACTAAGGAAAAACAAAAAAAAAAAAAATGCTAAAAGCATTATTTTTCTGAATTATTATTAAAACTGTGTGGAAATTGACCTCATTAAAGTACCAAATAGACATAATTCTGTATCAGACACTGCATGCATCTTCGAAGAAAGAATTCCGGTAGAAATTTTCTACACAGTATAAACAAAATTAACATCATTATATATGCCCCAGAATCTTAAAATTATACTCAAAGAATACACACAGTTAAATATAAAATTAAATAATACTCACTCTGTTTCCAATGATTCATTTTCACATTGCTCTTGTGTTTCTTGTGTATGCGTTTCTTTTATGTGATTTTGCAAAACAGATGAGGTAGAGAATGATAGATAACATATTTTACATTGGTATGTTTGATTTTCAGTGTGCGTTTCCATATGGTATATCAAAAAAGATTTTAAACTAAAGTTTTTGTTACAATGAGCGCAAATAAACCATTTTTTTTCACGATTTACTTTTTTACTCAATAATAAATCCAAACTACTAGGTTCAATAGTAATTATACTTTCGTAATAAACTCCATCAATAATATCAATTTCTCTTTTTGTAACAGAATTATTAACTTTATCTTTTTCTTCAGAGTTTCTGAAAAATATAATAATAATTACTAATAAAATCAAACACAAATAGAGAATACTATGTTGTTACTTCAATCACCTTGTTTCTAAAACTACATTAAAACTTTAATAAATTATATTAATATAAGATGTATTTAAAATGTAAAGACAAAAACAGTTTTAATATTACAGTGAAACCTCCTCTAATGGACACTTCCCAATAGCAGACACTATTTAAATCTTAATTTAATAATAGTGATACAATAACAGTACTAACAATCCACTATAATACAGTGGATTATTATTAAAAATAATGACAAGACAATGGCAGCATTAGGTTTTATGATAATGAACTCATTCAACAAACTTATTGTCAATGTGATATGATAAAAATTATCAACATTTTAATTTAATTTAACATAGCACAAATATTTTCATTTCACATATTATCCTTTATGAATTTCAAAAATTTACCTCACTAAATAACTAACGGTAAACAAAAAAAGATGTCTCCTATTTAAAATTTTCACTCTATATTAATTTATTGTTCTGGCAAGCATATAATTTACAGTTTACTTTACATTTTTAATAAGTGTTTCAATTATTTATTAAAAATAATGTATAATTTATAGTATGGGTTTAAAACTAAAAATATTATATATTTTAATAAAAAAAAAAAAAAAAAAAAAAAAAAATCAATGATGTACATTTTCACACTGTGCAATGTGGCATTTTACACCACATGTATAGAGGGTGATAGGTTAAATAAACAAAAAATAGATAATTTTTTGTAAAAGTTTTCCCATAAAAAGATCGGTTGTGTTTGGTACGTAGTCTTCTATGCAAATGATAAATTGTTAAGTCAATATTTTACCCTATAGGTTTAACATTACATCAGTGCTAATATTAGAGTATAAAGTTATATTTAAAAAATACAGATATTAAAATATTAAATTTCATAATAATACTCACTCCGATGTTATTGACATATTTATATAATGACCACTGTAAGACCCGGTGTCATCAGAAGTCTCTTCCTTAAGTGATCTAAAAATATTAGAAACCAATTAATGTCTTTTTTAGATAATGTTTTAATTAATTAAATTAAATTAATTAACATTTCTATGGAGCCTATATACTTGGTTTATAAGCTTTCTACTGTAGTTTATTTATAGAACAAATTTTTTCTAAATATTATTCATAACCAATTGCCAAAAATACCAAATTTTATGTTTTATTCTATAGGATCTACCACAGGTCAAAAATATTTATAAATAACATATTCAAAATTTGTACATGACTCAATAGTATTTCTCATATATTTTCTAGTTTAAAGTTTGTTAAATTACAGTGTATAAAATAAAATCTATGAATATTCGATATCTCACAATAAGACAAGCGAATTTCCTTATCTATCTATATAACTATGGATTGTACCTTAGTAAACCTACTAAACCTACTAAAACTAATAGGTTTTTTGGTAATACTCAGCAGACAAAATATATATACACACATTATATATAAAGGCATGTAAAGGTGTTCCGCAAATACACGATTATTGCAACATCTTGTAAAGTATTAATTTTTTTTTTTTTTTTTTTTTGAAAATTTATGAAACAAATAGCTCAAGTGTTATATTAACATTCTATTGTGATATTTATCTTACCTACCTACCCTAAAGATACCTAAAGATAAGTTCTACTAATGTGTGGTGAGATATTCTATGTTCGTACCGCTGAGCTGCAGAGATGAGAATACTTAGGTGGATTGGTGGAATGACGATAGAAGATAGGATAAGGAATGATTACATAAGAGATAGTTTAGGCATGATTTCAATAGCAAACAAAATGAGAGAAAATAGACGGATACTTTTTGGGCATGGCAAGGGTGAGAAGAATCTAAAGTAGTAAGAATTCTATTGAAAAAAAAGTAGGAGAAAACAGTGGGATAGGAAGACCGACAGAAGTGGTTCGATACAATTGAGAATGATATCCGTACAGCAAGTGTATGGGAGGTGAGAGATGTCACATTGAAATTTATTAGGATGAGGATGGCCGATCATAAATCATTGGGATGAAGGCGAAGGAAACGAAATACATAATATGATATAATAATCTATGAATCCTCCATGCTCCGATCTGTGGTATTTCCTATATTCTCTCTCAATGTTCCCGTCCTATTACTCAGCGAAATTCTTTTTTTGCTCTAGTAACTTTCCTCAATATCCATTTCAATTCTCATTCTATCCTCCCCTTTTCAATTAATCCCAATAATTTCTTCAACTATTTCCTTTATCACTCAGATGAACTTTTTGTTATAATTTAGATGTTATGTGTATATAACCCTGTTTTATTATTCTTTTTTCTTTTTGTATATTAATTATTTTTTTTTATCTTCTTAATTAATTGTAATTAAACTGTAATTGCCAAAACGAATTGTTTTTTTTTTTAAAGTTTCAATAATAATAATAAAAAAAAACGATAATAATAATAAATACACTTTCTTACTTTGAATTTTGTGGCAAATTTGTAAACGTTTTATGATATTCCATGATAGATGGATCTTTTTGAATTATAGTTGTCAAATATTGAGAACATAAAAAATTAATTAAAATAAGTAGGTACTTGTTTAAATATTAATATAATAAAACTGTTTGAGCGTAATAATAAAATATTATCAATAATCACTGGCAAAATCAAACTAATCACATAAAAGAAAAATTACTTTTCAATACAAATCATAAAGGTTATAATACACCGGTTTCACTTATAGTCAGGAAAACGAAAATGACGCTGCCACGCTGGCAAATACGATAGCAACGTTTTTTTTTCGATAGACAGGAGTTCTTAAACCGAATAATGCGAAGCGCGATCCTTATACATTTTGGCGGTACGAGGTCAACCAGCACAATAGGAGGCTGGCCTATGTAAGAATTACAAATACATACGATTCGTTTTCATAATTTTACAAAACTATAATAGAAATACACCACCAGGAGCGTGCGCATCAACGGTCACTTTTCGTTTTCTTGACTATAACATATTATCTTAGCGACGCACTACAGTTGTGACGTCACCAGATCTGAGAGCCCTATTTTCAAACGGAACGACCAAACGTACACGTAATATTTGTTTATGAACAATACGTTATCTCTGTTCATCTTTATACAGTTTATAGTATTTTCAAATGGCATACAAGCAATGAATATGAAAAACTCATATAAAATACAAAAAAAATATCGTTGGTGACGCTGTAATACTCAAGTCTTATCACAGTTATCGCTGGTTTTCTACCGTTTTTTTACCTGACTGCACCGACTGCACTAATGTACATTTTTAATTTCATATGGAATTTGGGGCAAATGTAGTGCAGGTTTTTATATTTCACATGCGCATACTCTACTAGTTTTTTGTCCAGAGTGCAGTGATAACCACACGAGCACAAGCTCGAGCTCGTGCGACTTATCTTTTATTGTTAAAGATGCCAATCTTGATGCTTGAATAACAATAGTATAATTTTAACTAATAATACCTAGGTAAACTAGTAAACCTTTTTTTTTTGTTACCCAAAATTAATATAATAATATTTATACTTGATAATTGTTAAAATTATATTCCACATGATTCATGATTCGAGTGCACTGGACAGTTTTTCAGGCAATATAACTTGTCCGCTATAGGTGCAACGGTGCAGTAAGGTGGAAAACTCAAAACACTATTATTCAAGTACTGATTATTCTGATATTTTTTTAGAAATTTTGTGTTTATAACTTTTTAATTTTCAATGATAATTACTATAAGATTTTTAAATTTACCAAATTTAAAAAGAAAACACTAGCTTGTGAAAATATTATTACCATTATTATTTATATTAATTGTTTTTCTGTTTAAATATCTAGTTTTTACTTGGGTTTGTTATTATTATTTTGTTATGTTTGTTTGATTTTGTCAAAAATATTTATATTTTTCTCAAGTAGACTAAGGTGTCAAATTGTATAGCAATTTTAAAGTATAATATAAAAAGTATTTTGTTTTGGTTTTTGTTATATTCTACACTATACAGCAGTAATAGGAGATTCAGAGTTATTCTAGTGCCAATTTTGTGATAATTAAGATTGTGTAACAGTGAAATTACTTAAATTTCCGATGAAGAAACACATAAAAGATACTATTTAGATACTTATGCCCGTATGCATAGTCAGTTTATGTGATTCATAGTAGGTACCATGTACACAGAATAGACTAATGCTATGTTTTTGATAATAATTTCCCATTGCATAGGTACCTAATCATTTTTATGAGAAGATTGGCATATTAAGAGGCACATAAAGTTATGCGGTGGATTTCCATCACATAAGCCTTAAGTGATACATTTGTGTTCAGCTTATCATTAGACTACAATAAAGTCCGAAGTTAGCACTCAAAAATTTTGTATACCTATTAAATTTTTCTTTACCGAGTTATAATTAATGTATGTCTACTGTCTAGTCATTAGTGTGGATGATTTATTACATTTTGTGAATTATTTATTACATTTTGTGAATTATTTAGAATATATCGTAATTGATATAGGCAATGAAGATGATAATTATATACCATGAAGGTTTTTGCATAATGTCAATGACCCTTTTGAATTGATGTCCAAGTTTTTAAACGTTAATGTTTTCCAAAACAAATTATATTTACTTAAAAATTTGTTTGAGTTAGTAAGTATTAATTACAGGAACAATTGTAAATTATCTATTCCTATTGTTCTACAGTTATCGACTACACTGTATTCCTATGCTACATCAAATTTCCAGGTAGTTTTACTTAAAAATGTTTAACTGTATATTGTATAGGACCTATTTACCAGAGGATCCATTTAAGTGTATACACAAATTATTTCTAAGTTTTAAATTTTTTGAAAATATTTTTTATATAATTTGATGTCTATTCAAAAAGACATTTCTGAAAACATATTTTAAATTAAATTTTTTCATTAAAAAAAGTTAAAAATTATAATGATCAAAATAGCAATATATAATTTTTTTCATAAATGTTGCCTCAAATTATATAAATAAAATATTTTCAAAAAAGTTGGAACTCCTAAATAATGAGTACTTACAGACACTTTAATGGATTACCTTGTTTATAGTTAAAACAAAGAAATGGTTACAATTTACACTCCAAAGTATGACAATAGTTTCTTTGATATGGCTGGATACTTTTGATACCTACAGTTTTATTTTAAATATGTAGGTAGGTAGAACTATTCAATGTTAACAATCTATGTAATATTATTGTATGCTGTCTTATCTAAATCTCATCTAAATACTATACTCAGAATTATTAAAAGAATTTCCCATCAAATACTTAAACAAGAAACTACATTAAATTTGACAAAACAGAAAATTAATGAGATATAGTGAAATAAAAATTTTGGAATGCCTGAAGTTGGTGGTCATATTAACTGTACAGTGTACACATATAAAAATACAAAACCCAGGTGGTCCTAACGGTGAAGTTTTTAGAAATCAAAGGATGGTTCTCACTAAATGTTCAAGTAACATCATATAAAAAAAACTTATTACATAAATGTGTTTTCTAAAAAAATTTAGATTGTTTGTGGTCCTCAAATGGAAATATATGATGTGGTAGCTTAATGGCCAGTTATCACAATAATTTTATCTTTAATGTAAGTCGTGCTGCTTTTAGGAGAAAATGGTAAATTGTATATGATTTTATTTTTCAACAGAAGACATAGACAGTATATATACTTATTATAGTATATAATTTTTTTCATTCTACTTCTAAATCATATTACCAATCCAAAAAAATAACTACAATAAGGCTCAAAGTAAAATGAGAAATATTATAGAGCGAGTTTTTGGTGTGTGGAAAAGAAAATTTCCTTGCTTAAAGAGAGTTCTAGCAAACTCCTCACTTACGGTTTCAATTATTATAATTTGTACTATTTTATACAATATAAGTTTAAGATTAAAATTACTTAACATGGATGACAACGTTAATGAAGAAGTTGAACTTGATAAACCTTTTACAGATAATAATCTAAATTCAGAGAAATCATTATTGATACTGCTAGGAGAGGATACATTATAAGACATTTTTTTTGAACAATCTAATATATATATATATTAATATAGCATTATATATATATAAATAATATTTCTTTATTTGAAAAATTAAAACATTAAAATAATTTGAATTACAAATTAAAATAAAATATTTAAAAATGTATAGTTAAATTTGAAATATTATAATAATAAAAAAAAAAATTAAACAATTACTTTTTAAAAAACACATATTATGATAGTACATATATATATATATAATATGTGTATCTGATTTTGATTAGTCTAATTTTTTCATTTTATTAATTTTTAATAAAAGCTTTTCTTTTTTTAATTTGTACAACTCGTTTTCTTCTCTTCTTTTAGCTAATAAATTTTCAATCAAAATTTTTTGGTAATCAATCTAAAAATAAAAATTAAGTAAATAAATCAATGGATCACATATACAAAAAAAAACAGTTGTGTAGTTTTAACTTTATTAACCTAATTTATTATATTATGGATTGTAAGTACTGGATAATAAAATAAAAATGAAATATTATGATAATAACTACGTCAAATAAAATAAATGTATTGAAAATACCTATATTCTCATTATGTTGATAATTAATAAAATAAAAATAAAATTATTAAAATGGTTAATACTTGTAAATAAATATATTAATAAAAACAAATTAATTAATAAATGGGTCACCTGCAGTTGCAGTTTACATTATGACTGATGTACCTGATGATGAATTTTTAATTCAAAACCAGTCGTATAATACACGTATCATAATACTCCAGGCTGCACATTTATTCATTTATTTATTTTTATTTATATATTTATTTACTATATTAATTAGGTATAATTGTGTATATTTTATTCTTTTATTTTTAACAAATTCATAATTTAAAAAAATTGAAAAGTAAATAAATTTATAAATTAAAATAATATTAAAATCTAAACTAGTTTCAATCATATCTAAAATAACCTCATACAAAGTAATGATACACTCAGTAGTGCTATGTGCATGTAAAAACTGGGCCACAAGAAAAACAGATAAGCAGAACCTAGCAAGATTTGAGAGTAAGGTGTTACGACAAATTTTTGGTCCCAGGAGAAACCAAAATAGAGGAGAATATGAGCGACGAAAGAGCAAAGAAGCAGTAAGCATGTTAGAGGATTCAGACATAATAGCAACAATGAAAAGTAAAAAATAAGCAGGGCAGGACATGTATAGCGAGGTCAAGAACAGACAATTGGTCAAGTCACTAGCTGGAAGTCAAAGAGCAAGACTGCTTGGCCGTCCAATACAAAGATGGAGAGACAAAGTTCATAAAAAACTAGCTATGCTGGTAATCCTGAATTTCGAAGTTAGACACAGATAGAGACTGATGGACAGAAGTGGTGGTTGCGGTGTAGGACCTGAATGGTCTGTACTAAGCCAAAGAAAAAAAAATTTAAATATTTTTTTCAGATTTACCTAATTTTTATTCTGGAATGGTCGGATTTAAATTGTTTCTGGTTTAAATTATAAATATTTATAAACTGTGCAATAGACATTATTTTAAAGTATTTTAATACTTTTCTTGGTATTACAGAACATTATTTCTGATATTATAAAAATATAAACACTTTTTAGTCAGTGATTTATGCTGAATTTTTATTAAAAGATTAAATATTTACTTCTAGCCCAGAAATACTGATATACTTCCAATTATACCTAATACAATAAACATACCTGTAGCTTTTTCAACGTTGTTTCACTTTTATAACAATGTAAGATCAACGCCTTCTCATCCTCTGTAATATTAGAAGCACGTAAGAGTTTCATTTTATCATCCTTAAGGTTAAGAGACATGATAGGTAAAACGGAAGTGAAAGAAAACACACGTTATTGTTAACAAAAAAAAGTACAAAATAAAATATTATACTCTACTACAATAAATTGTAATTGTTTTTATTTATTTTGTTATTATCAGTATAGTGTTTACAGATAACACTAATATGAACTTACCAACATAAGCATCGTTCGTTTCATCTTTTAACCAATAGTGTACACCAAAGCGTTTGTTATGAAAAAGTGCCAAAAGCGGTACAAGTTGTTTGTTTTAAAGTGATGGTTTAGTGTATACAGTGTGTACACTAGTCATATTATAGCAAATCAGTAGATGTGGAATCAGATTTTTGGTGTGTAGCCGACATGACGGATTAAAAGTTTAAATTACTAATTAGGTATTACATTATGCGATTTGTGAACATTGGTATACTACATTTATCTATTATGAAAAAAACGATTTTACTTAACAATTGCGATTTAAACATTACAATAAAAATGAAAATATTTAATAGTTGTGCAGTATACCGTAGCAATGATGGTAGTGTTGTTTTACATGATGACAATCAGATGACTTTCCCAATTTTCACACCTGAAACGTTTGTTTTGAATTGACAAACCACACCAAACATTCTTACACTCAATAACATCATGTTTTTAAACGAAAAAGATATAATTAAAAACGATTTTATTATCATACAATTTCCCATTACAATGAAACCCATAAATATTGACTATGCAACCATAAAATTTAGTTATTCTATAAGCTCCGTATAAATAATAAAAATAATTTATGAATTACATTATTATGTAATACATAGGCTATATTGTGTTGCCCACTAAATTATGCATACTGGCATTAGATATTATACTAACCTTACAGTGACTGGTCTAACTCTTTTTGATAGTGACCTAATAAGTATAATTTGTACAAACTTGAAAAATATGTTAAAAAAAACTCACCCATTTGTGAGTCAGTGAGTTATCTATGAATTCTATATGGTTCTGTAATGGGTGACAAATTGATTTTGGATTTTTTGCTTAGTATTAAAGAAAGTTTTCTTACTACAAAAATAAAAAATAAAATTTAGGTGAGCAGTGGGGAAGATGGGCTTCAATAGGTTTTTTAATTTATTCCTGTAATCCAGTGGTTTTCAACCTTTTTGGAATCACGACTCACTTTTTTAGGCGTACATTATTCGCGACCCACATAAGGCATACATAAAGAAAAACATTTGTAAAAAAACAAAAAAAAAAATCTTAATTACTTAATACTTTATAGTATTACTGTTATAACTGAATAAGTAAAAATAAAAAACTTTTTAACGTATACACAAATATGACTAGAATAATAACACGACCAACATTTATTTGTCTTTAACCACAGTGACAACATCGACAATGTTAATTTGCTAAGTTTAATAGTTAAACAATTATAAGTATAACTTATATAATTGTATAAACTTAATTTTTATTTTAAAAGAAAACTTATCACGACCCAAAAATGGGTTCAACCCACCGGTTGAAAACTACTTCTGTAACCAATGATAAACCATATAATATGATTTTAACTCATAAATAAAAAAAACTACATTACACCTACTTTTTTTTATTGTCTACTAATTAAAATTTATAATAAATCTCATGTTAAAATTACAAGTATTTATATTTGTTCAAAAAATTGTATCCAATAAGTAATAATCAAAAAAAAAAAATTATAGAAAATCTGTCTAATGTGTGTTTAACTATTATGTAAAATAGACAAAGCTATATAAGTATACTGTGAAAATATAATACACACAATTTTTTAACACTACAAAAATACAAGGCAAATGTTTTTATAATGCATACAATTTTTTTTTTTTAAGAATTTGTAATAATTGAAACTTAACTTTTTCTTGAGAATTATATAACTACTTATAATATTAATAATGGATATTATACTTATCATTTATACTTTGTTAAATAGTAGTTTATTATAAAATTGTTTTACTGTATATTTTATGCATGATAGAAATCAAAGGTAAATAATTACTTTTTAATTCTAATTGCAACATATAGATACAAAAACATTAAAACAAAACAAATACAAATGTAAATAAAAAAAAAAAATCTTTTAATATTTGTGCTTAAATAATAAGTACCTAATTAAATATAAATTTAGGTTTTAGGAATTAATCTGAATTTATGCAAAATTATAAACCCAATTTATGGTCCAAATACTATAAATACTGATAACATAGCAATTCCGAATTTGTATTATTTTTATTTTACTACAAAATAAAAATCTTTTAAAACTTAATTAATTCAATAAAACTGATGCTGATTACAATGTAAATAGTGGTTTTGGATGGTTAAGATTTAACAGTTAGATAAGGTTATACACTAAAATTAAATTTACATCAATAAAAAATAAATGATTATTCATTTGCATCAATATAATTTATTAAACAGAATGTCAGGAAACTACGGAGTACTATGACTTATATGTACACTATTATGGCAAATTCAATATTTACTCTGCAAATTGGGCACTTAGAAAAAAAATCTACACAATTTATATATCCATATATATGAAAACAAGGAAGAAATAAAATATTCCTTTCTTCTTTGCCACAAAGTTTACATAATAATTTTTGCGATGAATCATCATTAGAACTCTGTGATGGANTCTAGAAGACAGTGGCAAAAAAAAAAAAAACAATAATATAATATACATTTAACATTTACAAGTAAATAAAAAAAAAACTGTGTACAAACAAATTAAACAAATATTAATTTTGGGGAATGTAAAACAAAATACAAAAGACCAACCATACATTTTTAAAAAAAAATGTAATATATGTGGTATGATGAGATTTATATCAAGTTATGACCAGTGATAAGATGTAAATGATTTTCACATTTGTTTTTTCTTTTGTCCTAAATAATGGTACCTTAGCAGTTTTTGTATTTTTGTCATTTTTTGGCCATAATTCTATTTTTTTTTTCTATTTGTATGACACTTTTTTCACATCTAAAGAAGATATAGCAAATAAATGGGCGAACTATTTCAGGCAGCTGTTGAAATGTAATACACCAGATAGTTTATTCCACTTTGAGAATATGGAAACTAATAATACAATCTGCCTAGCACCGAGCAAGGAGGAAATTCACGAACATATAAGAAATTTAAAGAACCATAAGGCACCCGGAGAGGATGGTATACCTGGAGAGTTACTAAAAAATATGGGAAATTGCTTGCTTGAATATGTGTCCGAGCTAATAAAAGAAGTTTGGGAAAAAGAAGTGATTCCGGAGGAATGGCAAACAGCGTTGAAATACCCTATACACAAAAAGGGAGATAAGCAGTTGTGTGATAATTATAGAGGTATCGCTCTATTAAACGTTACCTACAAAGTGCTATCTAAATGTATATTAAACAGAATTAAGCCATGGGCAGAAGATATTTTAGGAGACTATCAAGCGGGTTTTAGACAAAATAGATCCACCACGGATCAGATATTTATTCTGAAACAAATTTTCCAAAAAATGTAGGAGTTTAACAGAGAAGTACATGTACTATTTATTGATTTCAAGAAGGCGTATGATTGCATACATAGAGGATCTCTGCTGAATGTACTAAGACAGTTCAAATTGCCCCAGAAATTAATTAATCTGATAAAAGCAAACATCCTACACACGGAAATTAAGATTAAAGTTGGCAATATTTTATCACAAGGGATATCAGTATCGACTGGTTTGAGACAAGGGGATGCTCTGTCACCCATACTATTTAATATTGCGTTAGAAAAGGTCATCAGGGAGAGCCGTATTGAAGAAAACGGAATACGTTTGGGAGGTTGCATAATAGGAGTATTGGCCTACGCAGACGACATAGCTTTACTTGCGGAAAGTAAGGAAAATCTCAAGGAGCAAGCGGGAAAACTTCTAGATACGGCAAAAAGAATAGGTTTAGAAATAAATGCTGAGAAAACGGAGTACCTAATTATGCATAGAGGAGAGGTCGCGGATCATGTCCACCCTTTTTTAGAAGTTGNAGTACAAGTTTCAGAGAGTGAAAGAATTCAAATATCTGGGATCAATTTTGACAGAAAAAAACGATGAACTTACTGAAATAAAAGCAAGACTCCAATCCGGTAATAAATGTTTCTACGGACTAAGTAATGTGTTAAAGGCGAGAACGATATCGAAGAACCTCAAAATACAACTGTATCGCACCCTCATCCGTCCAGTGGTAATGTACGGTTGTGAAGTATGGACGTTACGGAAATCAAATCAAAACAGACTACTGATATTTGAAAGAAAAATATTAAGAACAATCTTCGGACCGTGTATAGACGATACCACAAGGGAATGGAGAATTCGAAAAAACGAGGAACTTAAACAGTTGTACCAAATTCCCGATATAATTAGAGAAATTAAAAAAAGGAGATTCCAATGGGCAGGACATGCATGGAGAAAAGAAGGAACTTTAATACGAATGGTTCAATGTGGGATTCCCCAAGGAAAGAGACCCTTAGGAAGACCCTGACTAAGATGGGAAGACCAAGTCAGGAAGGACGTACAAACAATAAACCCAAGGGCCGAATGGAATATCATAGCGATGGATAGAGTGAAATGGCAAGATGTATGTTTGAATGTATGATCTTAATGGTCGATTGCAAAGAAGAAGATGACACTTTTTTCATAATTTTAAGACATATTTGTAATATTCATATGTTATAGGTAATTTTTCTAATATTTAATTTTTCCTGTTATTAAAGTATCTCATTTCCAAAAAATAATTTTGTATGTTTATAATGGAAGGCTTTTGTGGTGATTAAATTTCTAAATATAGTGTATATAGAGAAAATTTACAAGTAAATGCACTTATTGCTATATATATATACATTAAATCTAAATTAATTTTACTATTTTCAGTTTTTAGGTAATTGAAGTCTTTTGTTTAATTTTGGTACTTTTTTAGCTCATTACTCATCAACATGAGTTATCGACTGACCTCTGGTTATAATTTTAAAATAAATTAGCAAAACAATGTGAAACCTGAGGAAAAGTGAGCAGCTTTATCACTAGTATCAAATTTTCTCCAACTGACTTTTTGCTGTTACTATATTTCATGATATTTCAAGAAATTAAATAAAACTATTTTTATTATAGTTGTTTTCAAGATTTTGGAGGACTGTATGTTAACAAAAAACCTGGAACTGGGGTTGTTAACAGTAGAAAATTCAAATTTTCTAATGGTACATTCTAATCAAAAATTCTATTTATATAGTACACATTTTTACTATATTATTCACTATCATGAGTCTATAAGGATATTTAAAACCAACTATACTCAGAGAAAATATGATAAGAATATAAGCACAACAATTATTTGACAGAGGTTGAAATTTGAAACCATCAAGAGGCATATCCTTGATACTTACACCATACCCCTAACCTAACCAAAATTATTTTTTCTTCCATCAATCTAAAAAAAGTCTTATTTCCTAAGTTTGAGATCATTTTGTTCATAGAGAACTATTAAAAATGTACAAATACCCTAGAGTTGTGAGGGGGAGGAGATTAGAGATACAATCACAACAAAATAATGAAATAGTCTAAGAAGAAACTATGACAAAATATCTAATAAAAAATGAATACTATTAAGAAATAAAATCTAGGTATCTAATATCTAATGAAGATGACAAGATTTTAATTATTAAATTTAAAGGCCTCAGAAATATTCTCCAAACATATTAATTATTGAAAGTTTATAAAAAATTAAGATAGTCAATAAATGTAAAAATTAAAAATGTATGTATAGAAATAATATGTCAACTGGTACTGGCGCGTACCGAAAGGGTTAATAATTTGAAATTGGTCGGAAAATATGTATTTCCATACTCTATCATTTCCCGAAAAATTCCATTTCAATACAAGATCATCCGACTGAAATATTTAGCGGTATCTCTTAGCATGAACACATTGTATATGTAATTCTTCTAAAACTGAATTAATGTAAATGTTATTTTAGGTATTTAATATCTCTAAGGCTGTATTTCTAATCTTTCTTCAAAAGTAATAAGAGGATGAATAAGGAGTTTTACATCATTTAATAGATGTAAAAGAATCAACACATCTTTATGATAATCTGACAAGTTTTCAAATATTGGATAACATGCACCATGTGTTATAGGCGCTGTAAAAATAAACAATCTTAATTATTCAAATTTCATTATAAAACCCAAGTCGTCATAATCTAAAATAACATAAAATGTGTTCTAAACATAAATGACAATGGAAACAAATGGATTCAGTTTAAATACTTAATAACTATGTTTTATTAGGTATATACAACAATTTAAGATTATCTGAAATTGTGATACCTACAATTAACATCGAATGTAATAATATAACAATTTACTTGGTGTCAATTTAAAATAAGGACATTCTGGAGATAACTTTTTATGTTTCATAGTGGGATCATCACCAAAACGCCAGTTATT